ATTTAATTGTCATTCTCTGGTATGTAAGCAATAGTGGAATTCAAAATAGTTTGGGTGTCAGCGAGGTAAGCGAAGAAATAAAGCATCTTGTGAATATTGAGGCTTCTGGGTTTATAGAGGAGAAAATTAGGACAGAAAAACTGACACGAACGAGACCTCCCCAAAGCCTAAAGTGCTGAGACAGAACTTCTATGCCTTCCTTCACAGAATATAATCACAAAAATGCCATAGAGCAAAATTAATAGTTAGTCAGCTTAACTAGTTTTAGGGAGCTGCGGCCACTTAGTTTTATTTCAGTTTGGATTAGATTCCCCCACTGTTAATCGGTCAGACGACGCCTATCTTTTTTCCCGTCTATTTGAGTCTGCCTCTCGATGATTTTTAAAATCTGTGGAAGGAAAATAAATAAAATAAGAATTACAGCACTGTGTGTAAAGTTATGGCCATCGAGTTTTGGGAACTTCTCAGTTTAAAATGAAAAATATGGTTAAATTTCAAATTGTGGAAGTCGAACTAAATAGTGTAGCGGATATATAATATTTGATAAAATTCTTTTGGCATGACCGAATTAATCTAACTGCGATGGCATTATTTTAGATTTTGTAATATTCACATAGATATCTTAGAATTTCCGTTCATAGTACCACGTTATTAACTAAAATAAAAGAAATTTCTGATTTTATAAAAAATTGTATTTTTCGGAGAACTGGCAAAAAATATAGGAAATACAGAAGAGAAAAATTATCTCGTTAAAAATGAAGATAAACAAAACTTTATGCCGGTCATTAAAAATAGGACTATTTATTTTCGTTACCATATTACTTTAATATTGGACCAGAAAATTTCCTTAAAAATATAAGAAAAATAAAAGTCCAGAATTTTTGTTTTTTCTCTTAAAGTTTCATAAGTTTCATTTGTTATACTTAAGTATAACAAATTAATAGATATAGAAAAATGAATGTAATATTGAAGTTCTATATGGTAATATTAGTGATGTAAACGTTTATGTATAGTATATATAATTAGTATATATATATACAAATTTATTTATTATATTTATTATAAATAAAACAAAAAAAAAAAAAAAATAATAAAGAAAAAGTTTTGTTCTTTAGTCTAAAAAGAAGTAAAAGTTTTACTTGAATTGCCAACAAAGCAATTATCATTAACAACATCAGTTACAAATACTTGTAATTTTACCCCAGTTTCTTTTACAATTTTATGTTGGATATATAGTAAAGTTACTTTACATTGTAACTGGAGCTGTGAACAAATACAGTAGATACATGTGCTACGCATATTTTGTATAAAAGTAATATAATATTTTTGTATAACATATATAATGAGAGAGAGAGGGAAAGAGAGTACTCGTATATTGGAAATGAAAAACAAAGGATATTTTGGAATCATTAAAATGTCCTTTTACAAGGAAAATTTTTGTTAATTTATTTTTACAGAAAATTGCTATAGAAAAGTTATACTCATTGATTCTTTTATAAAATTTGCGAATTTATTTTATTAGTTTTAAAAGTGTTATTTTTTTTTTCTAGAAAAAAACTGTGTAAATTTAAAATTAATATTTATAAAAAAAAAAATTATTTTAACTCAAAATTTAATGAATTTTTTAATAAAATAATTGATATGCTCTCAAAATGGTTTCTTTGATTAAGGTGTAATTGTTTTGTATTGTAACTGCGTTATCAATTGCTTTTACAACTCAGTTTTTTAGCACTTTTCCAAAAAATTTTTTGAAAAAAGTGCTTATTAGTTTCACTCTGTCCGTCCGTCCGTCCGTCCGTGGACACTTTTTTGTTTACAAAACTTCTACACCCTTGAAGATAGAAAGCTGAAATTTCATATGTACATAGATCTTCACTAGAAACTTATTTCCTTAGAACAAAATTTTTACCTATCTCTCCCCCTCTAGAAGTTATACCCCCCCAAAACCCTAAAAATGGCCTTTTTTAAATATTTGTTGCAATGAAACCATAAGCATTTTTGAAGTTTTGCAAACGCAGAAAGGCAGTGGCTTGCTTCCCCTAGCGCGATATACTATAGTTAAACTTTAGAAAAACAAAATGGCCGTTCAAATTTACCGTTATCTAAAGTCCTTTTTTTCCAAATTTTTGATGTCGTTTTTCTTCTAGGCCCCATACTGTAGTATGAAAATTCGAAAATTCGTAAAATTTCAAGAAGCGCAGATTAAATTCAAAGAATTCAGAATCAAAATGATTAAACCTAAACATTTGAAATGTTTTTAATTTTATGTAAAAATTTTCCATTAAGAAGTTACCTGCTGTATTTTTTCGTTATCTAGCCTTTTTACTCTATCATAGTTTTCAAAAATTTTCAAAGTTTTATGGTAGTATTCCATATCCTTATTAATTGAAATTTTCGGATTTGATTTTTTTTTTGTAAATTCAAGAGCAATTATAATTTCTGACGTAAAATTAAAGAGAATAACGAGACCAACTCATTCGTGTCAAAAACGATTTGCAGACTTTGATCATTATTTTAGATGCATTTTAGATGGCGGACATGAAACCTTCTATAATTTTATTATACAAGGTCTTCTACTTTTCAACTAAATCCAAAATATTCCTAATACAAAACCACTTTAAATTTTTTTTTACAAAATATAAAATTTTATGACTGCTTTAAAAACCATTACTTTCTATTTTTTCATAATAAATTTTTCGTTTTTAAATGCTCATTTGGTTGTTTCATAAGTATCGTAGGAAAATTTATATGAGAAAAATACTTTCTATTATCAAAAATGGCAAAAAAAAAATTTATGTGCTTTAATGGTTTCTACTCTTTAAATACATAAACCAAAATAATCGCAAGAAAAGGATATAGAAACCGATTTATGTCTTTTTTTTTTTACTTTTTGTTGTTAAAGCACTTTTTCCCTTTTAATTTCTTTTATACACACAATGTTTCAATGTTTTCTAACACCTAGGATAATAATAACCGCCTCTTGAAATATATGAATTGTAAGGCGTTTGAATAAAAACAAAAAAAAAACAATATCAAAAGCAATTGAAATTTTGATCTTTTGGAAGAAGTTGATCACTTCTGGTTACTTCTATATATAATAGAACTATATAGTATAAAAAATACCACGCCTGTTTAGTGGTACCTACATATATACATTTGGATAGAGTAATATAAAATATTAGTAGCTATATAGAAATAAAATAAATGAAATAAACATAATGTTATTTCCGAATTTAACAATTTCGAAAAGCTTATAAATAACATTCAAAAAAGGAAGAGGATACTTCGTTCTATGTATAACATATAAAAAGGTGATTTTGAACTTTTGGCGATGGGCCGGAATAAGTACAGTTTTTGAATTTGCATTCTATAAGAAAGACATTTAGTATAAGATTTTCAGATATTTGACTGTTGTTCAATTTGCATGAAACGTGAAACCAGAAACTAAAATTTTATAATATTCCTTTATGTGGGCACTTGAAAAAGAGGAAAACCTCTAACAGTGAAATTCAGTGAATTTTTTGAAAATTTTACTCTTCATGAGCAAAAATGGTGAATTTTAATAAATAGAATGACTAGGACTTGCATTTTTTTGTAATACAACATACCGGATGGACATTTAAAATTTAAATCATAAAATATACGATATCAATACGATAACGGATCAATAATCTTATCTTTTAGATTTAAAATACTTACTTGGTATAAGTTTGAATAAAAATGTATTCAATATATGATATTTTTATAAGTTGTGTGCAAAAACAGATCCATGCCCGACTGATATAGTCGAATAAGGCGTACGAGTTTAGTTTATCTGTGGATTCAGTTTTTACCATTATTTTCAATTGAATTTCTCTTAGACACAATGAAAACAAATTTCATAAACTTTCTAAGTGATAATTCTTCTGAAAATATTGGCACGAACGCGTCCTTTTCTAACCCTGTTTTACATTACCTACTACGAATTTTGTTACGATTTATCAATTTTTATTTAATGCGTCTATTCTTTTTTTTTTCTCTTTTTCGTACATAGCCACTTAATGCAATATATTATTTTGGTTTCATATAAAACAAGGAAAACAAAAGACAGAGAAAAAATATCTGCAAAATTGTTTTTCAAAATATAAGGATATCAAATGAAATAGAGTCTTTGTATATTGTAATAGAGTATAGAATTCAATGTTTATTACATGCCTAAAACAGGACAATAAATTAATCGAAAGCTATTATAATATTAAAAGGAGGAAAGAAAATAAAAACAGAGAAAAGGAGAAAAATGAAAACACAACGTTTCGAATGTAAATCAAAATTACACATGTCTTCTTTTAATGGTACCTACGTTTCTTTCAATATTTTGCAAAATATTTTCTCTTCTATTATAGAATCCTTATACATTAAAAAGGATATTATTATAATAATGTTAACTTTATTTTTTGTTTAACAAATTATAATAGGTATAATTTTAGATTGAGATTTTTTGATATTTTATTAGTCCTGTATTATATATAGGAATATGGTGTTGATCGCTTTTATTAGTCCATTTACGAAAGTGTTATCTTTTTCTTTTTATTGAAATGGGTAATGTTGTATTATGTTGTAACACTAATGGATTATTATTGAGGAAATTTTGTTAATTTATACACAGAATTGTATAATATGTGCTTCTACTATACATATATCTGTATATATAATGTATGTCTGTTCATTTGGAGTCCCTATCTTTAAATCACTGCCGTATACAATTTCATTTGAGTTCTTATATTCGTAAATAGAACAGATTTAGTTTGAAAATTAATTAAATAATAATGGTATATGTAAAAAAATAATTATGGTAATAATAGATTTAACTAATAGAAAAATTCTTACCAAAACAGAATTTTAGACCGATTTCGCTTCACTCACAATTATTGCAGACACCACATAAAAGAAAACACTCTATTTATTTAATATTGAAAAAGGAAATTCTTTATTTCCTAACATTTAGGTACACTAATTATATTTTACATTAATGAACATTTGTGTTTCTTCGTTTTTTTTTCATTACTACGACGACACAATATTAATTTGGCAACTTCATCAAAAATTTCTTTCAATCCCAGATTTCTTAGAGATGTACATTCAAAATAATTGACTGCACCAATTTTTTTAGCCATCTTTAAACCTTTTGAAGATTTTATAAATTGTTGATTATTATCATATGTTGATGCATTTTCATCTCTTAAATCTATTTTAGTTCCAACTAAAATAATTGGTACTTTTGAATATTCTGAACGTAATTCTTTACGCCACTTTTTCTTAACATTATAAAATGATTTTTTATCTGTTACGGAGAAACATATCAAAAATACATCTGTCATAGGATACATTAATGGTCTGAAATTTTTGTAATCATCATCATCCCAAGTATCCCATATTTCTAAGAATAGGCTCTTGTTTTTGTACTTAATATATTTGACATAATCCCAGGAGGGTGTTAACTTTTGTTTAATTGTTTTCGGAAATTTGTTCGTTGCGTATGTGGTAATTAATGAACTTTTTCCAACATTAGAATCACCAATTACAATACATTTGTTATGATACATGTTTGTTTTTTTTTTTTGATAACCTTTATTTTTCTGATTATTTCAATATTCTTTCAGGAATTTTTAAAAATTAACATTAATTAACTAAACTTAATAACACCGAATTTATTAATGTTTTTTTAAATTTTCAAATTGAATTGTTAAAATTAAGTTGAAAAAATTATGTTTTTCCGTCAAGAAGTGATCCAGAATTACTGATTAATTAATATTCAAGAAAAAATAAATTGATCTTTGATTTTAAATATTGATGTGTAAGAGAAATAAAATAAAGTATAAACAAAAGCGAGAAGAGTAACAGTAAAATCACTCTCTTCATTTAAGCTTTGATTATAAAATTTGCGGTAATGCTTTTCTCTTTTATTTTTCCTTTCTTAATGTCTCCTTTTTTTTTTGATTATTTAAAATTACAATTTTTTTTTAATACATGCAATTTTCATTAATACATGCCTCAAATCACAATGAAAACAAAATTCTATTAAGATATCAATTTCAATAAGCACAATTACTTTGATTTTAAACATGTTGAAATTTTTTATTAGTAATTTTAGAATTTTAGACTAAAAAAAATTATTTTAAATAAATTTCTGTTGCAAGGGCGCCCATACCACAAACAAATTTCCTTTCTTTCAACAAAAATTTAAGAGGAACTTTCTTTTCGCTTTTACATTAAATTACATTTATTTTTTTTCTTTGCTATTTTTTTAGGAGTATTCGCTATTATTTTTGCAACTTCATTGAAAATTTCTTCTATTCCAATTTGTTTTAAAGATGAGCATTCAAAATAATTAGTTGCACCAATTTCTTTTGCCATTTCCTCATCATCTAAGTATGTTATGCATTCTTGATCATTGCTAATTTTATCATCATTTCTTAAATCGGTTTTAGTACCAATTAATATAATTGAAGTTTTAGAATTCTTAGAACGCACTTCTGGATACCATTTTTCTTTAACATTTTCAAATGATTTCTTATTTACTACAGAAAAGCATATTAAAAAGATATCTGCTTCAGTATACGTTGAAATTCTTATAATAGGAAAATCTTCACTATTACCAACATCCCATAATTCTAAATAAAGTTTTTTGTTTTCATATGTAACACTTTTACCATAATCAAAGTTATCTGAACTGCATATTGGTATGATAACTTCAGGAAATTTGCCTAATGCAGTAGTTATTATCAACGAAGTCTTACCAACTTGAGAATCACCAATTATAATACATCTAACATTATCTGTTTCTGATTCACAACTTGCCATATTTCGAAACGTTTACTTAATATAATATATGTATAAAATAGATTAGAACAAAGTAAAAAAAATAATTAAAAATATAATACTTAAAACGTTTCTTTATCTTTCAAAATCAAATGCTGGAGTGCTAACAAACAGTTGAAATGACAATTCGTTATTATTATAAAGTATTTATTAAAATGAAATTGGTTGTGGTTATTGAAAGAGGGAGAAAGAGAAAGACAGTCAATCGTTAAACAAATGTTGCTTACTGGTGTAAAAATCTTGGTGTAAAAATATTAGAATGAATTTGAATTCTACCATGGATTTATAGAGCGAAAGTCTGACACGTATAGCTGGCTACAATTCTATCTAGTAATTGAGAGAAAAATATTAAATTTACTATTAATGCCCAACAACATTTTCAATTTTATGAGTAACTTATGTGGACTACGCTAGAACATCTCTTCACACTTTAAGCTCATTGCATTTATTTCAATAATATGAATTTAGTACGAATAACCTGAATAGAATTTCGAAAGCAGATGGAACTCAAAGTTCGACTTTATAGGAATGTACTGTAGAAATTGTTTATTTGAAATAAAAAACAGAAAAATTGCACTCTCAGCCCAAAAGCTTTTTATTGTGTTGTAAAATATTTACATATTGTGGCTTTTTCATTTTAGTAACTTTATTTATTTTGGAAACCTCTTATGTATTTGCTTAAAGAATTTTAATTAGATTTGATATTAAGTCTGATTTTACCAAAAGTTTAAAATTAATTCTAATACTTACGCAATCGCAATAACGATCAACCGTATTATAAAAATAAAACAATTGTGATAATATTTTTACAAAACAAAATTGTATTTTTCATTTTATAATAAAGTACATTTAATTTTTTTCTTTTTAGTCACCTTTGGAGGATATACAATTAATCTTGCAACTTCATTAAAAATCTCTTCTAATCCAATTTTTTTTAAAGCTGAACACTCATAATAATTAGTTGCACCAATTTGATTCGCCATCTCTACACCTTCTGAATATGTTACACATTCTTGATCATCGTCAATGTTATCATCATTTCTTAAATCGGTTTTGGTACCTACTAAAATAATCGGAGTTTTAGAATGCTTTAAATGTACTTCCGGATACCATTTTTCTTTAACTCTCTTATATGAGTTTCTGTCTACTACGGAAAAGCATATTAAAAAAACATCCATGAAAGGATATGATATAGGTCTCAAACGATTATATTCTTCAAGAGCACATGAATCCCACATTTCTAAATTGATTGTTTTTTCATCATAGACAATAAATTTACTATATTCTCCAAATACATTAGGTATTACATCAGGAAATATATCAATAGAATAAGTTATTATTAAAGAACTTTTACCAATTTTTGAATCACCAACTAGGATGCATTTGTTAGGATTCATTATTATTTTGTTTCGTGGAGGTACTTTGTGTAATTTGAGCTCTCTTTAATGAATACTTTATTTCGAATTTTTAAATTTTTATACTCAAGTCTTTATTAATCAACATACATTTATATTGTATATTGTGCGTACTTGTAATTAATTCAGAGCGTAAAATACCAAATGAGTGGTTTTTTTGGCAATTGAAACAACATTACTACACCAGATAACTTTTTACTTATTAAGTATCTTATGAAAACATTACTCAAAAATTCCTTGTAAGCATAGTGCAATGCAATGAGAAAAGAGAGAAGGAGTGGTGATTTTGAATAGAAAGAGAATTATTTTAACAAAAAAAGTGTTGGGTAGTACTTACTCGGATATTGTGTATCAAAATTTTAAAATTACTCAATAGGCTCAAATGTATGTGATTTTCAAAAAAAAAAAAATATTAATTATTTTATAATACCGAAATTGATTAACTGTAACAGCACGGGACTCCATTCATATAAGCCCGCATAAAATATCACATAAAATTTTTCTAAACTAGTTTTTTTCATAAACATGGATAAATTTTTACAATATTCCGAAATGGTCAAAAGAGTATGATCATCATTGCGTTTTGCACTTATTTTCCTAAGTCATATAAAATGTAGGTAACTTTTTACTATACTTGTATCACTTTCGATACCCAAAACATCAAAATTACATCACCATAGTCAAGAGATATAAAGAGAATAAACTTTTCTTTGTTTTGTCTCTTTATTGTATAAAAATATTTATAAATAAACACATTTTGAATTCTCCATTCGTGTTTGATATTTACTCTTTTTACATTATTTTTATACCACAAAAAGTAAAGTAGTACAGTAGAGTCCTGTCTTTGCTGACTTTCAGTAAATTTCATGTTAATAGGTTTTTTCTTGTTTTTTTTGTATAAAACAAGGGCGAAACTTAAATTACATAATAAATAGTAATATAGTAACATTGTAATGTTTTTTTAAATTTGGTTCAGATATTTACGTTCAAGTTAAATCTATGTTTAATCTAAAGAAGTCAATGGCTTAGCTGATGTAGTCACTTTTTACAATAAGAAACTCAAAAAAATTGATATGAAAAAAAAATTTTTAAGAAGAAATTCATTTTAAAGTAGAAATGAAAAAATATGTGTAACGTGAAATACATTGGTATTTCTAACGGGTAATGAATATTTCTTGTTACTTTTATACAAAATGAGATTTATTACAATGTTACTGGAATACCTAATAAAACCTTACTTAACTATAATTCACATTTATTTTTGAAAGATTTGAATAAAATAATTTCCTCAACTTTTCTTGTTCCGCCAAATCTGTTTTTTATAATTGACTCAGATTGTTACGTGTAATTATGAGAGAGCAGTAATTTGAGTGTTTAATGAAATTATTTTCAGGCTTTTTAAACTTTCGCTCTTTATTTTTATTTTTAAGTGTTGCCGTTCGCCATTATTTTGCAGTTGTTAATATTATTGAAAACATTTATAGTTTTATAGCAGTTCCTGTGGTAATAAATTATTCTATAATAAGTAAATTTTTTATATTCCATGATAATGCAATATTAAAAAGTAATATTAATTTGAAATAGTAAAACTTTTCAGAAAAAAAAGAACCCGAGTGCAACTTTTAATTCTCAAGTAATAAAATTCATTAACAGTATTGATGTTAAAGCTTTGAATGTAGATGCATACGCAAAACATTCTTTTCAGTAATTTATACACGGCAACATCGGAAAGTTATTTTTAAATAATTTTTGTGTTAAAACATTTCAATATGGTTGAATAAAATTTGTTTATATATACATATTTACTATGACTCATGAGGTTTTTTACAAAAGTGAGTCAGTTACTCAAATTATTAATTTTGTACTATGTCCATATGTATCCATATGTATGTAGTAATATTAATATTATTTGTAATAATATGTTATATTGAATTAGTTAACCATGTTTAAAAAGTATGCATGTTGTGTTTAAACCTATAAGAAAACTCGTTATTTTATTAACTTAATTTTATTCACAAATCTTTGAATAAGTGTTATACTCGTGTATGTGTTTATCTCTTATATCATTATCATCATTCATGACAATAAGAGTAAACAAAACATTCATCTGATAATAGAAACAAAACAGCATTGCTATAATCGAAATTAAAATACAAAATTTTTTGTTAGTTTTAATTTAATTCACTGTATAACAATTAATTATTTAAAATTTTAAATTTTTATAAAATATTTAAATTAAATGCAATTAATGTAGACACAGGTAACGTTGTTTTCAGGTGCTTATCTGAAATTTCTTAAGCCAAATTCAAATCATTAATAAATGCATATTGTCACACTGGCATTGTGTACATATTGATTGATGACAGTTTTGGTTCTCAGAATCTTTTATTTACTGTTGATTATTCACTAATCTTCATTATGAACATTTAGACATCTTATGATCTGTGAACAATGTATTTCATTTAAGTACGTTGTATATATAATATTATTTCTTTATAATATTATTATGAACAGTATATTCTGTATATCAGTATAGAACAGTATATCACATGATAAAACATTTAGATTTTTTGTTTTTATTTGATTTTTTCGAAGAATTTAATATTAATCTCATTGCCTCATTTGATATTTTATTTAAACCGTCTTTTGTTAAAATTGAACATTCTAAATATTTGATTGCATTAATTTCTTTTGCCATTTCTAAACCTTTTGCATATGAAATATAATTTTCTTCATCATTTTCATTATTTCTTAAATCTGAATCAATACCAATTAATATGATTGGTATTTTTGGACAAAAATTATTTAAATGTGGATACCATTTTTCTTTAATACTTTTAAATGATTCAATATTAACAATTGAAAAACATAATAAAAATATATCAGTTTTAGAATATTGTAATGGTTTTTTTGGTTTAGATTTTAATGGAAATGGTTTATCCCATGCTTCTAAACTTATATGTTTTCCATCAAACATTGGTTTAACTGGATAATCCCATAGTTGATTTGTTACACATTCTGCAGGTATTGTTGATTCTACCATATTTTTACTAACTAATAGTGATGTTTTGCCAGTACCAACATCACCAACTACAGTACATTTTAATACTTTCATGTTAATTTTTTTTTTTAATATTAAAAAGTAGAAAAACTAGTTTTTGATCGGTGTGGTTTTTTTTTAATATTGTATTTTAAATGAGTATTTCTTTTTTAATATAAAAATTTTTATTAATTGTTTTTTAGGTAAATAATTTAATTTCTTTGTTTATAAATCAATTGAAAATACCGCAACGGAAAAAGAACGTTCACGAATGGACGCGGAATATAAAATGTTTCTACTTATTTTTTTTGTTAATTAAATTTAATATAATTTTATTATTTTGACGGTGTTTAATATTAAAATAGATAAATACTATTATTAGAAAAACTTTAAGCTTTTATTTAATAAAGAAAACTAATAAAAATACAATAAATATACATAGATAAATAAAATATAAGATAAATTTGTATTGTGGTCAGTGTTGCCAAATAAATTATACCAAATATCTTAATTTTTTTAAAAAATAAAATCTTCATTTTGAAAATTCGATAAAGAAAATCTTCACGAACCCTTCGAGATATTCAATTGAAGTTAAATTGAAAAAAGTAGGAAGCCAAAATACTACAATTTCAATTCGAACCAAATCATACTCTAAAAAGAAAAATTTAAAACATGCACGCATTTAGTTATTGCGCCAAATCGATTAATGTAGATAAAATATGAAAAAAGATTCAAAAAATTGCAATTTTGAAAAACTTCACTACCATTAAAAAACCTTAATTTTAAAGATATTTTTGTATGTAAATTTTGAAAAATTTTAAAAATCTTATTTTGAAGTATGCACAAAAATATGACCAAAAAACCTTAATTTTGAAGATAAATCTTCACTTTTGACAGCGCTGATTGTGGTTATTTTGAATTAAAAAAGCTTTTTTATCGTGTTTTGATTTTGAGATTAATTAACATACAACTATACTATAATGTATTAATATAATACATGTTTATGGCCAGATAAATTCAAAAATTGTAAATCTCTGAAAGCTTTCGAGTAATTTACGCAAAATGATCTAAATAGCAACTATTAAATATTGAAATAAAAGATAAATTGAGATTTTCAACAAATTTTCTCAAAACAAATCCAAATCGTATGTTACCATAGTGGTGGGGGAACAAATTGTTTACAAAAATTATCTCAAATTTAAATTATTTAGGTAAGATAAAATTTAGTCAAAATTAAAAGTGAGAGAATATCGTATCACGTATTAGTGTTAGTTATTACCTGTGCACATACATTATTATGTATTTACTTTAAGAGTTAAATAATTTTCTTTGGTTTTTTAATTATTCTTCCCTGTTCTTCTTCTTTCATTTGAATTGAAAATTTTCATAAGAAAGTATTTCAAAATTTTGACAACCAAAATTTCGATCATTTTTATTGATCGTTTTCGATTATAATTGATTGGTTTTTTATTCTTTGGATGAGGTGAAATAAAAAAGGGTTGTTATATCGAATTTTCTTTAAATCTAATGGATTAAATCAAAGAAAATTCGTAAGCAAAATTTGAAGTATAAACTCTAACTTAAAATGGAAATTAATCAAGGTTTAAATTGTGCACGATTTTAAAATCAAAATCATTCATCATACTGAAAATTAAACGAACATTGACCGCACTAATAAGAGTAACCGCAGACATCTAGGTAGGTTTAATAAAAAATTTCATTTCAATTGTTCAATTTCAATTTATTCCAAAATTTTGTAAATTGAGTTAAAAGTGAATTGTAGAAATTGAGTTGACACCTTACAGTGTTCATAGCAGAACAAGTGAGTTTTTCATTAACAGTTTTCAAGAATATATGCATACAGGGTGAATCTGAAACGCGATAAAGTCCCTCGGGTTTCGGGCTCAGAAAAATAGGACGATTTTATAAAAAAAATCGTTCCTTGGGCGGTTGGCAAATGACTATTTAATTCTCAAAATCCCGATTGAAAATTTTTTGTTTTGACATACAGGTGTCCGAACTTAAATGGCTGTAATTTCTAAACTTATTAACAGATTTAAAAAAACTTGTTATTCAATGGAAAACTTAAAAGTAGCACTTTATTTAGAAAAACAACGGGTCATTTGGGGTATTACTTAAAAAGCTCTTATTAACTAACTTTTACTAACCAATTTTTTTTGACAACAAAGTTAGTTAAAAAGATTTTACAAAATGGCAAATTACTAAAAAAATTACCCTATTTAAAGGAATTTGAGTTGGTCTTCAAATAATCTCTTAATAATTTTTTTTGTGCGATGCCCCGTTTCTGAGATAATACAATTGTAAACTGGAAAGCTCCCAGGAAAAATTGTTATTTTACTCTAGGTAAAATTTACATAAGCCAAATAAATTAAATTAAAGATAAGTGTAACCTAATATTTTTTGATGACTGGCACTATCTAGTGTTTAATAATTATTTTTAAATCTAGTCTACAGTAAAGTTTTATTTTCTATAATCTCTACGAAAGCAATAATTTAAATAAAAAAATTATTTATGTCTAATATTAAAGAAAATTATTTTTGTATCCTAAACTATTCCCCAAAAATTCATTAAAAATGGTGGTCAGATTTTAAAGTCCTTTAAAATTTTTGTGTTTTTTTTTTCTTCTTTTTCTTTCATTAAAATAATTTGCTTTCAATCTAATTTGCTTTAAATTTTTGTTTTTTTTTTTTGTTTGGCAGAAATTTTGGAAGGAAAAATATAAATTTTTTCCAGAAACTGTTTTGTTTTCTTTTTATATTCTCATCTTCTTTAATAACATCAAGCTTTAGTACTTCATCCCAGTTTTATATTCCACACAAAAGACTTTGAAATATAAAATTGGGAGTACAGGAGTACCATAAATGGGACGAGAAAGATTTTCTCTTATTTAAAGTTATTTAGTAAAAAGATTTCTCTTTTAATTTATAGTTTGTTTTTTTTTCGTTTTTCTTGTGTTTTTGTGGAAGTTTGTGGTAACTTCCTTAAATTAGTTAAAACTTGTGGTTCTCTAATTGATGCAAGTAGAAATGATTAGAAAACTTATGCAAAACTCTAACTATCTTTTAGAATTTTATTTTATTTTATACAGTTATTTTATATATATTTAAATGCAATTATTTATGTGTGATTGTATATGTATTTTTGCTAAAGAGAAAATGGATAATATGAGAGTTGTTGTTTTAATATAAATACGAAAATGTTACCAGGCCAGGACATTCACTAAACAATTTCATTAAAAAGTTCAAAAGTTATTTAAATTTATTCATTTAGCCATTAAAAGTTGACTTAAAAAATGAAAAAATGAAAAGCAAAAAAAAAAAAAAACAAAAAAATAAAAAAACTTTATTGTATCTCAGTTTTTCGTTTTCCTTCTTTTTCTTTTCATGGTTATTTTTTTTAATTTCAGAAAAAGGATTCTTACTTGTATTTTTGTGTATCCTTATTTTAAAGTGATTTTTTAGTTTATCCTGAATTTTTAGATTTTGTTTTTTTTTATTTTAATTTCTGCATTCTCTTAAATAATTCTCAATATTTTCGTTTTGATTATGGAGCATGGAGCGAGAGTAACTGGCTGCTAGAAGGTAGGGAAATTTTATGGAGAGAGAGAGAGAGAAAAGAAAAAAAGTTCTCAGCTATACGAAAAGTTTTTAATAAAAAAATATTTTCGGCTTTATTTATTTTTTTTTTCTTATTTATGTGAATAAGTAAACCATTAAGGATTGTAAAAGTATATTAAAAGGAATGTTTTTGAAAAAAAAAAATAAAAAACACCAAAACAAAATAGGCAAACTACAAGCTCCTATAGCTTAGCAATTGCTATGTGTTGTTAAAGCCAGTTAGTTTGTTTGTTTTTTTTTCTATTTTGTAGTTTTCGGGGTTTTTTTTTTTTGTAATTTTATAACTTTTTTTTTATTTTCTCAAAATAAGTTTTCATACGGTGTGTTGTTGTGGACTAGAGGAAATATTTTTATGAAATAAAACTTTTTACTTAGTTAAAAATTTACACTTTAATTTCATTTCATAAAAAAGAAAAAAAAGAAAAATAGAAAAATTCTTCTATTAAACCTGTTTTTTTTTTTCTTTGTTTTTTAACCGAAAAAAATTTGGTTTTTTTAAATCACAGTTGTAAAATTTTTTTTTTTCTCCATTCTATTGTTTTTAAATTTTTTTTGAAGAACTATGAAGTTTTATTAAAAATATGAATAACGATTTTTGAATATTTTAATATTAAATTTTCTATTTTATGTTTTTTTTTTTTGGAAAAATATCATAAATTCTAATAATAATAAATTTGGATCAAACCAATGGTTTGTTAAATACTCTTTTCCCTTAAAAAAGTAAAAATAATTTTTAATAAAAAACAATCTTCTAGCTATTTGAATTACTTTCATTAATATACCAAAATATATCAAATGATTGCATAACTTTAGGATGAAAAAATTTAAATAATCGTTAATATTATGGACAAATTGTCGGTTAAGTATGTGACTTAAAATTACATAATTGTAGTTTTTGATGGAATAAAATTTGGAAAAAGTTGCAGTTTCAGAAAAATAAGGCTTCGAAAATTCATATTTTAAAAATTTACAGAGGTGACAACTGTGGAAGAATATTTTAGTGGAAGAATACTTTTTCCAAGGTGGTGGAAAAAATATTCTTCCACTTAAATGTTCCACTTCTACAACTTAGTGTTCACAATTATGTAAGTTACAGGTTAACATTCTTTACTGTTTTTTTTTTCATTTTTCATAATGCAATTTTATAATATTATTGTTGTTAAAAATAATTAATATTTTTAACATATGCATTAGTTCCATGAAATTTCTTTATAAAATTTTTAAAAGTTTTTTTAAAATCAAATGTTAGTAAATGGAGTGATACTGATGCGGCATGTCTGTTAATAATATATGAATAAGTGGTATTAGACGGTAATAAGAAAATTTTTTTAGTTATTATAAATTTAATAATACTATTTGGGAGAACATTTCGTTTTATCTATGTGTTCTATGCAATTTATAATGCGTTTTATCTATGCAATTTCTTCATACCTCTGTAGCTCAGTTGGTAGAGCGTCCGCCTAGCAAGCGGTAGGTCACTGGTTTGAGTCCAGTTCGAGGAGAAAGTTTTTTTAACTCGTTTCTTTGGTTACGTCATCCATCTGTTCTGCAGCTGTATGAGGAAATCTCCATTAAGTTAAGATTGTGAGTGTAATAGGCACAATACCGTTTTTATTATATAATAT